TTATGCGGGACTCGAACCCACGAACTGTGAGATCATGACCTGAGCCAAAGTTGGACGCTTAACCGACTGAGCCACCCAGGTGCCCCTATTTCCTACATTTTTAATGGCTACATTATATTCCCTTATATTGATGTAGTCTGTGTGTATGTCTCATAACTTTTACCCCATTCACGGACATTCAGGTAGTTAAGAATTTTTACTATTTTATTTATTTTAATGTTTTATTTATTTTTGAGAGAGAGTGCAAGTCGGGGAGGGGCAGAGAGAGAGGGAGACAGGATCCCAAGCAGTGAGCAGTGACAGCAGTGAGCCTGATGTGGGGCTTGAACTCATGAACCGTCAGATCATGGCCTGAGCCAAAGGTGGATGCTCAACCGACTGAGCCATCCAGGCGCCCCCAGAATTTTTACTATTTCAAAGGACATTGTTATGATGAGCACCAGCTATTGGACAGAAGTGCCGAATCACTGTATCATACACCTGAGACTAATATTACACTGTATGTTAACTAACTGGGATTTAACAAAAATTAAAAAAAATGAAAACTAGGAAAGTAAAATTATAATAAATTCTGATTTTGACATACTTAAAAAAGAACATTGTAGTAACAGTTGGCTTAACGTAAACCATTTTCCTCAAAAAGGAATTTTGAGGGGTTTGCCATTTTTTGTTCTTAATGTTTTTAGGAATGTAAATTGAAAAAGTACCTTTGATAGGCAAAATCCTCAGGGATATTGTATGTAGAATACTCAGATATGACAGTGCAACCAGGTATAACTGATGCTTTGCACAGAGAGAACATTCTTCCATATTTTCCCTTAAGAAAGCTAGATACTTGGGGCATCTGGGTAGCTCAGTCAGTTAAGCATCCAACTTCAGCTCAGGTCATGATATTGTGGTTCACGAGTTCAAGCCCCACGTCGGGCTCTGTGCTGACAGCTCAGAGCCTGGAGCCTGCTTTGGATTCTATGTCTCCCTCTCTTTCTGCCACAACCCTGCTCACGCTCTGTCTCTCTGTTTCTCAAAAATAAATAAACATTTAAAAAAATTAAAAAAAAAGAAAGCTAGATTCTTTCTCATCCATGTCTGAATCCTGTCATGTACATGTTTTATTTACTGATTTATATTTTTTTATTTGGGTATTGATTGATTTTTATCAAAGTAATAATGTGCTTTTTTTTTCCCTCCCTCTTTTTTTTTTTTTTAATTTTTTTTTTTTCAACGTTTATTTATTTTTTTTTGGGACAGAGAGAGACAGAGCATGAACGGGGGGGGGAGGGGCAGAGAGGAGACACAGAATCGAAATAGGCTCCAGGCTCTGAGCCATCAGCCCAGAGCCTGACGTGAGGCTCAACTCACTAACTCATGAGATCGTGACCTGGCTGAAGTCGGGCGCTTAACCGACTGCGCCACCCAGGCGCCCCTCCCCTCCCTCTTTTTTATTCTTTTCAGTTTTTTATTTAAATTTTAGTTAGAATAGTGTTGGTTTCAGAAGTAGAATTCAGTGATTGATCACTTACATACCACACCCAGTGCCTTTCCCAACAAGTGTCCTCCTGTAACCATCACCCATCCAGCCCATCCCCCTCCCATCTCCCTCCATCAACTCTCAGTGTGTTCTCTATCATGAAGAGTCTTTTATGGTTTGTTTCTTCCTCTTTTTCCTTTTTTTCCCCCCTCCCATATGTTCATCTGTTTTGTTTCTTAAATTCCACATATGCGTGAAATCATATGGTATTTGTCTTTCTGCTACTTACTTACTAGCATAATACCCTCTGGCTCCATCTGCGTCGTGGCAAATGGCAAGATTTCATTCTTTTTGATGGCTCAGTAGTATTCCATTAGAAGGTACTTAATTTTATAAAGTCCAGTAGCACAGGGAGACATTCCAGATGCTTTTCTTACTGCGTTTAGCTTCCGACTGACCTTAAGAGGCAGTACTTTGTCTCCTCTGCATTTTAATTACAGAGACACAGGATTGTAGAATTTCAGAAAACGGTTTAAGTTCACACAGGAAAGCAAAGGACTAACTGATCCAAAAAGACTCCGTGGATTTTTATTTGGATAAAGAGGGAGGCAAGGGCAAATAATTCTCCAGTCAGGGTCTTGGTCCTTCTATGTGCACTTGGTTGCCCTATGCATGGAAGACAGCACAGATGATACTGCCTCTACATGGTCACTCTTCAGAGGCTCCTTCTTTAGGATCTCTGATGCTCATTCAGGACGCTTGGATGTGCAGGGCTCCGGCGATGAACACACAATTCTCATATGAAAAGTTAAGACAGGGGGCGCCTGGGTGGCTCAGTCGGTTAATCGTCCAACTTTGGCTCAGGTCATGATCCCAAGACTTGTAACTTCAAACCCCGAGTCAGACTCTGTGCTGACAGCTCACAGCCCGGAGCCTGCTTCGGATTCTGTGTCTCCCTCTCTCTCTGCCCCTCCCCTGCCCTCATGCTGTCTTGCTGTCTCTCAAAAATAAATAACATTAAAAATTTAAAAAAAAGAAAAGTTAAGACAGTACCGTACATCAGCAATTCTTGACCGTGGGTGATCTTTGCCCCCAGGCAGTGTCTGGAAACATTTCTGGCGTCACCACTTGAGGGAGGCTTCTGGCTTCCAGTGCATAGAAGCCCGGGATGCTGGTAAACATCCTGCGGTGCGTGAGACAGGCCCCCGCCCCAACAACAAACATTATGTGGCCCAAAATGTGTGTCGTGTCAAGGTCGAGAAACCATGCAGTGCACGAAGCTATACAAGAACAATAGCAAAACGTGGGTGACAGTATTTAAATACGTTTAAAAAAAAAAGAGCTTCAAATCTCTAATAGAAATTTTGCAGTCATAAAGTAAAACTCTGGTTGGACTATGAGCAAAGAACATTAACTGGCAATGTACTGAAGCAAAAAATAAAGATGGCCAGTAAATATATGAAAATACGATAGCTCATTAATTACCGAATTAGTACGAAAAGAACAAGTTGCTTTTTGCTGATCAAATTTCTTAGGACTCAGAAACACTGGTTATATTCAGTGTTGCGTATGATGTGGAGTATCAGGGATATTTATATTCTCTTGGGGGAAGCGTAAAATACGGAGAAAGTTGAAAAGAAAACCTGGCGTTGTACATAGTAGTTTTGAAGTGGCATATTCTTCAACACTGCAATTTTTACTCCTTGGAACTTATCCTAGGAAAAGAATTAGATGGGAGGCTAGGATTTATGGAAAAGGTTGTTCTTTTCAGTATTCATTTTGAAAAGAAAAGAATGCCAGGTAAGACAGTATGTATTATTTGAAATGTTTAATCAGATAGTAGTGAAAATCTGTGGTCTCTGAAAATCTGGAACCACTTTGTACCCACCCTTTCCCGTTTTCTCAGTGCTCTTCCTCTGAGTGGCCATCGGGCGCAAGATTGAGCTTACGTGTGCTTGATGTTGTAGGAGGCGGTGACGTTCAAGGACGTGGCTGTGGTCTTCACCGAGGAGGAGCTGGGGCTGCTTGACCCCGCCCAGAAGAAGCTGTATGGAGACGTGATGCTGGAGAACTTCCGGAACCTGCTCTCTCTGGGTGAGGACAGGTGCTCTGTGACTGAATGTCACCCCCTCTGTGTGGTTTATTTACCCTCTGATGTGTGGGGCTTTGGAGCTCTTGACCTGGTTTCCAGTGTTCTAATCAGCATAAGACGCAGAGAGGGCATTTTTCTGGTCTTCCCCCCCCCCCCCCCCCCCCCCCCCCCCGCCCCCAACAAAGTTTGTGTTTTACATGAGCCATAAATTGACGCCTGACTGCTGTATCCACATTTTTGGCTTTTCTTCAAGTTGTGGTCATTTCCAATTAGTGGGTCGTGACACATATTTAGGGTATTGTACCAGCATTTTTAAAGTTTATTTACTTATTGTGAGTGACAGAGTGTGAGTGGGGGAGGGGCCAAGAGAGTGGGGGGACAGAGAATCCCAAGCAGGCTCTGGGCTGTCACGCAGAGCCTGATGCGGGGCTTGAACTCACGAACCGTGAGATCATGACCTGAGCCAAAAACCAAGAGTCAGATGCTTAATTGACTGAGCCACCCAGGCTCCCCTATACCAGTATTTTTAATGAAATACAATAGGGTAGGGCACCTGGGTGGCTCAGTCAGTTAAGCATCAGACTTTGGCTCAGGTCATGATCTCACAGTCTGTGGGTTCAAGCCCCGTGTTGGGCTCTGTGCTGACAGCTCAGAGCCTGGAGCCTGTTTCAGATTCTGTGTCTCCCTCTCTTTCTGCCCCTCCCCTGCTCACACTCTGTCTCTTTCTCTCTCTCTCTCCAAAATAAGTAAACATTAACAAAATTAAAAAGAAAAAAGAACTACAATAGGGTAGAAAACGTCAGAGCCCTTGGCAATAACTACACATTGCAGCAGCAAAAACTACAGCCAGTTGCTGAAAATTGTGTGAGCAGTGGCGGAAAAAATCTGAAGAAAACAGACGTTTTTTTACCCCGGTAGTTCACACTTAGATCTACATATCCTGGATTTTTGCAATAAAATGTCGTCCTCTGATGCATCATAATTAACAGTTTGGAAAACACTAATTCTCATGTCCTAAACATGCTGTGGTGAAAACGCATGTGTTGTGATTTTGGCCTCTACTATATTAATTTAAAATGTTTGTCCTTGCCTTTCCACAGGGCACCAACCCTTCACACCAGATGCAGTACCCCAGTTCAAGAGGGGAGGAAGGCTTTGGATGATAAAGGCAGCAACCCAGAGCCACGGCTCCTCAGGTGAGAGCCATGCGGCTCAGTCTGTCACGTCTCTTGTCACCTCCACAGCTCTGGAGCAGGTTGCGGTCAGTGCCTTGTCTCTGAATTTCTGCAGCAGTTTTTAGCACTCTCCCTCTCTCCTTTGCTCATTTACAGTTGTTCTCCACTGGAAGTGACTCTTTTTTATTTTTATTGTAGAGAGAGCGAGAGCAGGGGAGAGGGGCAGACAGAGAAAGAACCTTAAGCAGGCTCCACGCTCCACACGGAGCCCGACACGGGGCTCCACCCCACGACCCTGGTATCATGACCTGAGCTGAAATCAAGAGTCAGGTGCTCAAGCAGATGGAGCCCCCCAGGAGCCCCTCGAAGTGATTCTTTTGCATGTTTGTCAGGTCTTGTCAGGCCTCTGCTTGAACCTCTGGTAGCTTCTTACCTGATTCAGAGTAGAATCCAAGTACTTACAGTGACTTCTGATGTCCCACCTGTCTGCTCCTTGCTCATCCTCCATCCCTCTGCAGACGTGACCTGTCGCTTTCCCCCTTGCCTGTCTGTTCCGTCCAGTTTTGTCGCTCTGCTATGCTACCCGTGGCCCGGCCTCGTCACCCTCTACCTGTTCTCCCTTCTGTCATCCTCTTGGCCCCTCCCTTACTTCGCGTAAGTCCTTCTCAAATCCTAACATCATAAGAAAGACCTTCCGTGACCACTGTGTTCCTGACCCCTTCTTCTTCCCCCGTTCTCCTTTCCCTTACCCCGATTGATTTGGTGTCTAGGCATTGATCACCGCTTACCATATTAACATATATTTTTGCTTCGCTCACTCTATTCCCACTAGAATGTAATTATCAGGAGAGAAGAAACTCTGTTGCCTTTATTGCTATATCCTCAGTGTGTAGATCAGACTTGGCAGAGGACAGGTGTGCTATAAATATTTGTTGTGTGAATGAATGAGCTGATAATGGTTACATGGACTTTTTCCCATTAGTCGTGGACGTACTTAAAGGGTGTTAAACAGAAATGTGTGGTGAAGGCATCGTCTGGAACAGCCCGTGATTATCGTGATTATCTAATCGAATGTAATTGTTTAGGTCCTTTTAGATATGTGTAGATTTGTATCCATTAAACCATATCCGATGACAGCTTAACTTTGCACTTGTAACCACAGTGAATATCATTTCAGCTCTGTGGCTTTCCTGCGGGTTTTAGTAGTGGATCCTACTGTCTGAGTGAAGAACCACTTTTTAGAATGAAGAATCTGATAGCCACTTTTGAGGCAGGTCTTCTATTCAGGAAAGTATCAGGTATTAACTAGCTTTCAAGTTAGTCTTTCCCTTCGTCGGTTTTCCTCATGGCAACCACCAACCTCATCCAAACAGTTAAAGAAAACGATGTCACCCACCAGTATCCCTGTGTGTGTGTGTGTGTGTGTGTGTGTGTGTGTGTGTGTGTGCGCGTGTATATAGTTCTAACATGCATTTTATCCAGAGAAACCTTTACTTACAAAGCACTTCTAATATTTTACCATTCTGCTAATGCTGGTCATAAGCCACTAAATTTATTTCAGACTCACTGAGTCCAACCTGTAGCTTGTAAAACAGTGGTGTTGTCCATACAGGAACATGTTTCTGTATCCATCAGTTTGACAGCCTGCTTTCGGAGTCATTATTCCTGAGGCTCTAAATATTGACTCCTATATGAAGAAGGAAAAGTTTTACACACATAGGAAGAGATTACAAAAATTCAGAAGGGGGTGCCTCGGTGGCTCAGTCGGTTAAGCATCTGACTCTTGATGTTGGCTCAGGTCATGATCTCACAGTTTGTGAGTTCAAACCCCATGTCGGGTTCTGCACTGACAGTGTGTGGAGCCTGCTTGGGATTCTCTCTCCCTCTCTCTCTGCCCCTCCCCCTCGTGTGTGTGTGCTTGTGCCTTCTCTCTCTCAAAAATAGATAAGTAAACATTGAAAAAAATTTTTTCACAAGCAATTGATCCATAGGCCCCACAGCCGCTTGTATGCCTTATGCTTTTTTTTTTTTCCTTCTTTCCTCCCAAGCGATTCTTGCCATGATTTTATGATCAACATGATTTTATCATCACCAACATCCACTTAGGTTAGCCCTGCCTCTGGTGAAGCCTTTCAGCTTCCCAGCAAAGTTGCTGCTTCCATTCCTATTATGGGTAACTTCCTTGAAAACGCTCTTTTACTTTTGTAACAGAGCTCAGACTCTCGCAAAGAAGTCAGACTGGGGCTTATTTGTGTGTTCAACATGTACTTACGGAACGCTGCCATCTGGGAGTGCTGATAAAGCAACGAATGATCTAAGTGCTCGTCCTGGTGGATATTGCATTCAGGTGGGAGAAGACATAAAACAAAACGATAAAGGGCATAGATAGTGCATCTGATGTAATACACCACGTAAAAACAACACAGGGTAAGGTGAATGCCGAGAAGGTTGCTGGGGGTGTCAAGGGATAGGGAGAATTTCCTGCTGGATGCTGGATGGTGAAAGAGGCCTCACTGATGAGGTGTTATTTGAAGAGAGAGCTGAAAAGAAGTAGGTAGCAAGCTCTATAGTTTATTGATGGAACAGAGTCCCAAGGAGAACATAGCTCTTCCTGACTGATCCTGACGTGGAGAATCCACGCCATGCCCTGCTCATTCTCACAGATTCTTGCTCTGTTCTAAAAGATGAGCATCTCAGGGGAACTGACTGGTGGCTCAGTCAGTTAAGTGTCCGACTTCAGCTCACGTCATGGTCTTATGGCTTGTGGGTTCGAGCCCCGCATCGGGCTGTGTGTTGACAGCCCAGAGCCTGGAGCCTGCTTCGGATTCTGTGTGTGTGTGTGTCTCTCTCTCTGCCCCTCCTCTGTTCACGCTCTGTCTCTCTCTCTCCCAAAAAAATAAATAAATATTAAAAAAATTTTTTAAATGAATGAAAATAAAAGATGAGCTTCTGATTTTCCACTCTTTTTTCCCCCCGAGGTGATAGGAACTTTATTGCTATGAGGTTTTAGAATAATGTATGTTAGTACCGTAAACCTCTTCCCCAATTGCTGTCCTGAAGGACGTTTTCCTGCTTATACTCTGAATTTCAGGCACTTGGGTGATAAGATCTGTTCTCCCAAACACCTGTCTTTCCAACCAACCCAGTACATCAAGGCTTCTAACATGGAATAAAGTCCAATGAAATAATTTGAAGCAAAGGTTTTTCAGATGTGTTTTCGGCACATCTTCTGATCGTCTGTCTGTAAGGGTCCTGCTGGACATTTTGAGCATTTGGTCAGATGTGCATGCAGTAGGCAGAATTATGTGGAGACTATTTATCAGACACCTGGTTTAGCAAAGAAGAGAAAGCTTTTAGGTGGGTGCAGCTTCGTCTTTGGAAAGATTCCCTAGGAAGTGTTTTTCTTGATCTGCAATCACCAAATTTCTAACCTGTTTCTCACATATAAAACTTAGTATGATTCTAAGTGGAATCATACTACATACTACATATCTCATTAAGGTGTAGTGAATAGGAGCCTGGCGGACCACCTCTAGGTTTTCGATGATAACAATGGCAGGGTGTCACAGACTTTGAATCTGGAGTTCTCTCTTGTCCAGCAAGAGAGCGGACGCAGACTTGAATATGAGAGAGGCTAATGTCCGGGAGGAGACAAGCGTCCCGAGTAAGGGTCCTTGTTCCGTATTTATTAGGATCGGAAGGCTTACAAGTGTGATGGACATGCAGAAAGCGACAGTGAAACATTAACTCGTGTGTGAGAGAAAGGGAGTTTCAGAGGTATGAAGTGTTAGGGGTTGGGGTTAAGACAAATCAGAGTCCTGGTGCCGAGCAGACAGCCGTTTACTGCAGGCACCAGGCACCGTGTCTGTTTATCTTAAATTTCTAGGGGCCAAGACAAATAGAGCATGCTGCCTCAGGGCTAACAAGGCATTTTTCTCACCGGTTAGCTCTGGGCACTTCCACCTGGTGGCGGCTTTCCACTCTATGCTTTGTTTTACTTCATGATAAATCCTGGGCACTTCTGCCCTGCCGTGGCGGCTTTCTGCCTCTAACTGTTCCTCTACCTGTTCTTAGACACTTGCATCCTTTGGGAGCGGCTTTCCGCTCTATGCTTTGTTCTGTGCTTGGCTTTTTCACCCTGTGGCAGCTTTCCACCTCAACCTTGTTAACCCATTGGTGCAAGCTCAGGGAATCCTTAAACTTATTCCCTACAGTGTGGCGCCTGGGTGGCTCGGTCGGTTAAGTGTCCCACTTTGGCTCAGGTCATGATCTCACGGTTCATGAGTTTGAGCCCCGCATCGGGCTCACTGCTCTCAGCACAGAGACTGCTTGGGATCCTCTGTCCTCCTCCCACCCCTTCCCTGCTCCCGCTCTCTCTCAAAAATGAAGAAACATTTTTAAAAAACGGTACCTTCTCCTGGTTCATGTTAAGCCTTCGGGTGTGGGCCTTAAGTTTATAACCTTGGTACCTCTGACCAAAGCATTTAAGGTGCCCCATCTCTAAATTCTCTTTATCCTTTTAGGAGACAGGAACCTAAATGATGCGGAGACTCTTCAGGAAATTGGATTAAAGTACCTGCCACATGAAGAGCTTTTCTGCTCGCAAATCTGGCAACAGGTTACAAAGGAGTTAATCCAGAGCCAAGATGCCATGGTAAATATCCAAGGAACTGGCTCTCAGCTGGAAAAACAGGGTGATGCACTCTGTAAAGATGGGGAGTTTGGTAAAGGCTTTAATCAGACTTCGTGTCTTCAAATTCACCACAGAGACCACACAGGAGGAAACCCCTATAAGGGGGGAGAGTGTGAGAATGGTTTCATTGAGCACTCTCATCTTCAGACTCACCAGACAGCCCATGTGGGAGAGAAGCCCTATAAATGTGAAAAATGTGGAAACACCTTCCGCCGACTTTCAAGCCTTGAAGCCCATCAGAGAGTCCACGGCAGGGAGAAATCGTACAAACACGATACATCGCGTAAGGGTCTCAGACAGAGGTCACATCTTCGCCATCCGCAGAGAGCCCCCCCTGGAGAGAATCCACACAAGTACGAGGAGTGTGGGAGGAGCGTCCGGAGAAGCTCCCAGTGTCAAGCTCCTCTGCTGGTCCGCACGTTGGAGAAACCTTATAAATGTGAGGAGTGCGGGCAGAGCTTCAGTCAGGGCTCGTATCTTCAAGTCCACCAGAGAGTCCACGTGGGAAAGAAGCCCTATAGATGTGAAGAGTGTGGGAAGGGCTTCAGTTGGCGTTCGCGACTGCAGGCTCACCAGCGAATCCACACAGGAGAGAAACCATACAAATGCGAGGCCTGTGGCAAGGGCTTTAGTTACAGCTCACACCTTAACATCCATTGTCGAATCCACACAGGAGAGAAACCCTATAAATGTGAAGAGTGTGGGAAAGGCTTCAGTGTGGGCTCACACCTTCAGGCCCATCAGGTCAGCCACACTGGAGAGAAACCTTACAAATGCGAGGAGTGTGGGAAGGGTTTCTGTCGGGCCTCAAATCTTCTGGACCATCAGAGAGGCCACACTGGTGAGAAACCATATCAGTGTGATGCCTGTGGAAAGGGCTTCAGTCGTAGCTCGGATTTTAACATTCACTTTAGAGTCCATACGGGAGAGAAACCCTATAAATGTGAGGAGTGTGGGAAAGGCTTCAGTCAGGCCTCAAATCTTCTGGCCCATCAAAGAGGCCACACTGGAGAAAAACCATACAAGTGTGGTACATGTGGGAAGGGCTTCAGCCGGAGTTCAGATCTTAACGTTCATTGTAGAATCCACACGGGAGAGAAACCCTATAAATGTGAGAAGTGTGGTAAGGCCTTCAGTCAGTTCTCGAGTCTTCAAGTGCACCAGAGAGTCCACACTGGAGAGAAACCGTATCAGTGTGCGGAGTGTGGGAAGGGCTTCAGCGTGGGTTCACAGCTCCAAGCCCATCAGAGGTGCCACACTGGAGAGAAGCCGTACCAATGTGAGGAGTGTGGGAAAGGATTCTGCCGGGCCTCGAATTTTCTGGCTCATCGTGGCGTCCACACGGGAGAGAAACCGTACCGGTGTGACGTGTGCGGTAAGCGCTTCAGACAGAGATCCTATCTTCAAGCCCACCAGAGGGTCCACACTGGGGAGAAACCATACAAGTGTGAGGAGTGCGGGAAGGTCTTCAGTTGGAGCTCATACCTTCAAGCCCATCAGAGAGTCCACACTGGAGAGAAACCATACAAGTGTGAGGAGTGCGGGAAGGGGTTCAGTTGGAGCTCAAGCCTTATAATTCATCAGCGAGTGCATGCTGACGATGAGGGTGATAAAGACTTTCCCACCTCGGAGGATTCACGCGGGAAGGAAGCTCCAGAAAAGTGATAATGTTTTAATACCTCAAATGGGTGCTGAAACAATCCCGTTACCAGACCTGTCATAGGAGACAAAACATTTGTTTAAAGAGAGTCAGTATTTCAGCCGGAGCTCCACATGTCCCAGTGGTTGGGTGACCACATAGCAGAGAAGCCTCATGAGAACGGAGACTTAAGGAAGGGCTTCATTTAGAACGTTGACACGTACCAGATGTGACACAGAGGAGAGGCTTAGGAGGGATGAGTCTGTCTTCCGCTAGAATATAAGCTCCAGGAGAGTAGAGATGCGTCGGCTGCCAAATCTATTCAGCCTTTCAGTGCCTCACACGTTGTAGGTGTTCAGTAACGTTCAATCAGTGTAGGGAGAAGAGTCATCGTTGAGACTTTTTCTTCGGTTCGTCTCGCAAAATGTCTATGAGATGTACTTAGAAGAGGAAATCTGCAAGGCTTAGAGGACATGTAAATTAGGCACGTGGGCTCATTTCCCCAACCCTGCAGGTCCTGTGAACTGGTGTTTCTCAACCTGTCAGGAGGTCCAAAAATCAATTCAGTGGGTTGTAGCCAGCACTTATGTGTGCGGATACTTTATTGAGGTATAATTTGCATGCAGTAACATGCATAAATCTCAAGTTTACAGCTTCCTGAAGTTTTGCAAATGTATAACACTTGTGTAATCCTCACCCAAATTGATGTGTGCAGTATTTCTATTAAACCAGACTGTTTCCTTGTGTGCATTTCTAGTCATTCCCACCTCCGGTGGCGACAAGGATGGTTTTTATACCTCACGTTGGTAGAAGCTGTTCTTGGACTTCCTGTGGCTTCAGTATATACTCTTTTATGTCTGGATTCTTTGGATCAAACATGATCATCAAACATGAAAGCAAAGTTGAAAAAATTCAGTATCTATTCATGAGAAAAATTCCTCAGGGAGATAAGAGCCTTCTATGAAAATTCTACAAGTTAGCATTCTTTAAATTTTTTTTTTAATGTTTATTTATTTCTGAGACAGAGACCGAGCATGAGCAGGGGAGGGACAGAGAGAGAGGGAGACACAGGATCTGAAGCAGGACCAGGCTCAGAGCTGTTGGCACAGAGCCCAACGCGGGGCTCGAACCCACGAACCCTGAGATCACGACCTGAGCCGAAGTCAGACACTTCACCAACTGAGTCCCCCAAGCGCCCCTACAAATTAGCATTCTTTTTAAAATTATTAAGGATTAATTTATATGCAGTAAATTGACTCTTTGGTGTAGGGTTCTGTGTTTTGGCAAATGATTACTATTGTATCACCACCCAACAGTCAAGACATTTAACAGTTCCGTGACCCCCTTGCCCTGAAATTCCTTTGTACTCTCGTGGTCAGCCCCTTCCCTATCACCCCTCCCTACCTTTGGCAACCATCTACCTGCTCTCTGTATGCATAGTTTACTTTTTCTGGAATGTCCTAAAATGGAATCATTCAGACTGTAGTCTTTGGAGTCTGGCTTCTCCCACTTAATGCTTCTGAGATTCATTGATCTTGATGTGCGGATTGCTAGTCATTCCCCTTGTTGCTGAGTCGTGTTCTGTTACAGGGCTGTACCACGTTTGGTTTACCCATTTATCACTTCAAGGATTATTTGAGTTTCCAGTTGTTAGTGGTGATAAAGAAAACAGTGACTAGTGTTTGCATACAGGGCCGTGTATCAACACAAGTTTTCTTTGTCTTCGTAAATACTTAAGAGGGGGGTTGTATGCATGTTCAACTGTATGGAAAAGCTAATGGCTCTAAAATGGATGTACCGTTTTGTATTCCCACCATCAGTGCGTATCAAAGTTTTGTTTTGTTTTTAGCATTTCGCTAGGTTCATAGTGGCATCTTTCTTTGGTTTTAATTTACATTTCCCGGGGCACCTGGGTGTCTTAGTCGGTTGGGCATCTGACTTCGGCTCGGGTCATGATCTCATGGTTTATGGGTTCGAGCCTTGCGTTGGGCTCTGTGCTGACAGCTCAGAGCCTGGAGCCTGTTTCCAATTCTGTGTCTCCCTCTCTCTGACCCTCCCCCGCTCACACTCTCTCTCTCAAAAATAAATAAACATTAAAAAATTTTTTTAATTTACGTTTCCCTAATGACTATGTTAGGCATCTTTCATATCTGAATGTTTGCTATACATGTATCTTTTCTTTGGGGGACTGTTCTCTTCTTGAATTTTGAAAGTTTGTATGTTCTGGATGTATGTCCTTATATGTTTTGCAAATGTTTTATCTCTGCGTGTAGTTTATGTTTTTATTCCATTGCAGTATTTTTAAATTATTTTTTTAATGTTTGTTTATTTTTGAGAGAGAGGAAGACAGTAAGTGACGGGGAAGGGGCAGAGAGAGAAGGAGACACAGAATCCGAAGCAGGCTCCAGGCTCTGAGCTGTCAGCACAGAGCCTGATGCGGGGTTTAAACCCATGAACAGTGAGATCATGACCTGAGCCAAAGTTGGACGCTTAACTGACTTAGCCACCCAGGCTCCCCCATTATCAGTATTTTTCACGAAGCAGGTGTTTTGTTTTTGATGAAGTTCAGTTTTCATCTTCCGTGGATTCTGCTTTTGGATTCAGATCTGAGAATTCTGCCTAATCCAAGGTCACAAAGATTTTTCTCCTTTTTTTTTCTTAAGTTTATTTATTTTGAGAGAGTGAGACACGTGTGTGCGTGTGGGTGGGGGAGGGGAAGAAAGAGGGGAAGAGAGAATCCCACGCAGGCTCCACACTGTCAGCACAGAGCCTGACATGGGGGTCCATCTCATGAACCATGAGATCGTTACCTGAACCATGAGATCGTGAACCATGAGATCAAGAATCTGATGCTTAACCAACTGAGCCACCCAGGTGTCCCTCTCCTCTTTTTTATCTAAAAGTTTGTTTCAGGTTTAACATTTAGGTCTATGATCCATGTGAGTTAGTCTGTATAAAATGTGGGGTCAAGGGCCAATTTTTTGGCATGGAAACATCCAGTTAACTATCCTTTTAACATCAAATTGCTGTTGTACCTTTGTGAAAAACCTGTAGATCATACATGTGTGGGTCTTTTTCTGGCCTCTCTTTGGTTCCATCAATCTATATGTCTATCATTTTGCCAATATGTAGCTTTATACACTAAGTCTTGAGATGAGATAGTATGAGTCTTCCAACTCTATTCTTTTTCAGAATATTTTGGCTATTTTTTTTTAAGTTTAAATTGCCCTTTTTTTTTTTTTTTTTTTT